ACAGTTCCCCCCGCACACAGTCCCGTTCCCTCCCGCACACAGTTCCCCCCCCGCACACAGTCCCGTTCCCTCCCGCACACAGTCCCGTTCCCCCCCGCACAGAGTCCCCCCCCCGCACACAGTTCCGCCCCGCACGGTTCCCCCAGCGCCCTCTGCCGCCCGCCCGGGGCCGGAGCAGCGGCGGCCGCGCGCGAACCCGGAACGGACTTGGTGGGCGCCGCGCGCCGGCACGTGCCGGGGGGAACGGGGAACGGGAACCGGGAGGGAGCCAGGGAGGAACTGGGAACGGGGGGAGGGGAACCAGGGGGGAACCGGAGCCGGGGGAACACCGGGAACGGCGGGGGGAGGGGGAGCTGCGGGAACCGGAAACGGGAACCGGTAAGGGAGCCCGGGAGAAACTGGGAACCGGGAGCCGAGGAGGGAACCGCAGAACGGGAGCCGGGGGTGGGGGGAAAGGAAACTGCGGAGGGAGGGGGACCCAGGGAGGGAACCGGGAACTGGGCGGGGGGAATCAGGGGTGAGAAACTGGCGGCTGGAGGGAGACCCGGGAACCGGGAGGGGGCGAACCACCTGCTGACCAGGGCACTGCTTGACGGGACACACACTCGGGATTCCGGGGCCAGAGGCCAAGCTGGAATATGATTTCTTTTTTTTTTCTTGGTGAGGGGTTTGATATAAAGTATATTGCTAGTTTAATTGGGTGTAGTGGCCACAGAGTGCTTTTTCTGAGGAGCTTCGCAAGTTGAGGTTTGAGCTACAGGATAGAGCCTCAAAGGGGCTGGTGAGAGGATTCCAGAGAAGCTCAGAGCTGTTTGAGGACACAGCTCTTGGAGATCCACAAAGAAGGAGCTTTAAGGAGTCTGGAGAACTTAGAGGAAACCCTTGTTTCCTGCCATATGTGGACAATTCCAGTATGAGGCTGCACTTGAACAAAGTGGTGTAGGGGTCACAGCTTTGGGTTTACAGGACCACAGAGCCATGGAAACAATCAGGACTCACTTTGAAAAGTGAGGGGGAGTAGGAAGTTTGCAAGATGTATAAGAGATGAGGTACCACCGCCTCCCTCTAAATCTGCTCTGAGAACCCAAATACATACCTCCATATTTCAGTGATGCTAGAAATGGTCTCTCTGGTTAGAGAGGTAAATCATGTGGCTTCCTTTCACACTTCATCCAGATTTGCTCTCTGAGACACATGGGTTGGTAGGAGTCTCTATAAACACTGCAAAATGCCTTCAGAACAAAGCCAGTTGTGCCTTGGGTGTGATGGACCAAATAATCTCTTAAGCTGTCTTCCAACTCTAGGCACCTATGAGCCAGAGTTGGATCTGTGTACTAGTAGTTAGTAAGGATATATAACTATATCCTTGCAATTAAAATGTATGGTTTATATAAACAGAATTTAAGACCTTGATGCTTCCGGATCTCATGCCAAAAATGTTTCCCTCCTGCCTTAATATCTCACATAAACAACAGGCAAAGTAGCTGTTATAATGGGAGCATTACATGAAATGTTCTCTTACTTTGTGACTTGCCTCAGAGTCTGTGATCTCTACAAACATGACAAGGTTACATCAAGAACCTGATGAAGGCTCCCCTAAAAGTTTTATTCCACGCAGATGTAGCAATCTGGTGTTGTTTAGACCAAAGATTTTAGTTTGATGATACTTGTATGAAAATACTTGGATTCTGCTGTTAAAGTAACTTGGAATGGAGACGTGCTCCACAGGCTTGTTGAGATGCCAAGCTCTCTAGCCTGTGCATTGCCTTTGCACTGGTCTGTTTGCTACATCTGTTTTTGCTGGCACAAAAATCAATATATATATATAAAAAAGCTGTAAAGAGCCCCAGAACTTCCAATAGATAAGCACACACCTGAGATTTGGATTAAGAAAGGAATTAGTTACCTTTGTGGTTGCAATGGTTTGGCTTCTTTGTTCTTTGCTCCAGGCCAGGATAAAGCAAGAAAGGATCAGCAGATGTTTCATTATATTCCTTTTCTCAATACCTGGTGAAAGCATTCTCACAACATTTTACTGCCCATCTAACACCTGAACCACTGCGTCCTTTAAAATCTCCTTTTCATTGCAGGCCATAGTAACTTTGCACTACACCTTCTTCCCCACCTGGTCATTTGTTTTGTCATAACTTTCCTAACATTAGTGAAGTTATTACTCACCAACCACACTTTGGGCCACGTGCAGAAAGGTAGCACACACTCAAATCTGTCACACACATCAGTATTCTTAAGCCTTACCTAGAGCTGTAGCCTGTAGAGCTGCTTGTCTGTGTTACTCCTCTCTTTCTTCTGGCACACCCTGTTCAGCCATTCCCTACACCTGTTGAAGAAACATGCTCCCTTTCACATCTGCAACCACCTAGAATGTTTGTCCTGCTGCCACAGGGAAGCCACGGAGGCTGTTGTTGAACAGCAAGGCTCGGGGCCTGCTCTGTGACCCATAGTTAGAGGGGAGCCTGCAGGGATCAGCCTGTTCCTTCTGAGCTGAGACAGCACAGCAATACCAGCACAACCCCCCCGCCCAAAGGGAAAAGTTGCTGCGATAAGTCAAGGTTAAATTCGATCTTTGGGAGAGGGAATAAGGATAAAATTCCAAATGGCCACGCTTGGTGCCATTACATTCCTGGGCTAATTTACACTGAAACCAGGGTAAGTCACCTCAAAGGAAGAGCAGGGAGGCAGCCAACAGGTGACCTGAACATGCCTTCAGGGCAGTAGCATGAGGGAACTGGAGGGAGAGAGTTGTTCCCCTGGGGATTAACTGGCAAGTAAGAAGGTTCTGCTGTTTCATCTGCTACCTGAGCAATTAGGCAACAGATCGTTTTTCTGAAGAAGGCAAGTGCATTCCTGATGTATTTAAATTTCCATCACACCAAATGCTGGCATGTACCAGGCTATGAACTCAGTGGCTCCTGCCCTTCTGCTAGAGAGCACTCCTTCCTGCAGAAAATCAAGCTGTGATTATTTTAATAGGTCATTGTTATCAACAGTGGATACTGCAGGAAAATCTTGGCAGGTAAAAGAAACAAGGATTTGATTGGAGAGGATTAAAGGTGTGTCAATGTTGGTTTTATCTGACACCCTTTCAAATTAAAGTCTGGTTTTGTTTACAGGCACTTTGTTTCTTGTGTAGTTTCTCTAGTTTATCAGTGACTCAGAAATACATGAGTCTCCTCCCCTGGAGAGGGGCTTAACTTATGCATTGTAAAGACTTGTGCTGATGAGGTTTGAAGCAATGAAAATCAGATTACTTATCTGTGCCGCTACTTTGCCACTGGCTCTGACAATTTAATGGTGATTTATTATTTCTGGCATGCCTTCCAGGCCTCTTAGCAGAGTACTCCAAGCAGAACTGCTCTGAAGTCTTCAGGAGTCTCAAGAGAACTGCACTGAGAGCCATTTCCCCACATCCATATCAGGTATCAGTTGCAGACAGCATGGAGAAACAGAGCACTATCTAACCCATGCCTTTCTTTCACTGCAGTCATTTCCTTACTATGGCCCTGAAATCTGTGTGCTTCACCCTTGGCCATGACATGTGGGCCAACTCGCAGATGTCCTGCAGCATTCTGGGCTTGACTTGGCAGGTTTCTGCTTGCTGGTTCAGTGATTGCTCCATAACCCAGCACGTGTGGGTAACTCTGCTCTCCGGAAGAGCTGGGCATGTGCTTAAAGCAAGGATGTGTTCAAGTACCTTGTGGCTTCCAGTCAAAGTGGAAAAAATTGGGCAGGATTCAGTTCTAAACAAGATGATGTAAAAGACCTGTTCAGCACATGTCAGCCAGTAAGACTTTTGACATTCCTGCTTCAGGAATTTCCAAGGAAGAGAGAGGAAGCCAGTGGTGGCACTGGTGATGATTTGGATCACTTGTGGTCATGAATTCGCCTGTCCTTGTTATGAAGGGATTAGTGCCCTAGACTTTCTCCTCAAGAGATCCTTTATCCTGCTCTGGTTTGCTAGAGGGAAACGAGTGCTCATTCATGCTTCGTGTGCCTGGGGGGGACACAGACCCCTCATGACAGCTGTCACCTCAGGCATCTTGCTAAGATGGTGTGTAGGGCCAAACCAAGGACCTGCTGTTGTGATAAGCCAACGCCTGTCTTGACTATGGGTTTATGACATAAAGACACGGTTCTTTAAGATAAAGCAAATGAGCTTTTTGGAAGTGACCCTTTGTGAAAGAGTGCGTCTTGGGACTTGTCTGCTGGGTGGGTTAGACTAAAGGGGTGAAGCACATGCAAAAACTGAAAGCTTAATACACTTGCCATTAGATATCTTTCTTCAGAAGGAGAATGCTTCACTTTGTTGTACAGCAAACTTAACTTCTGAGTGGGAGCATTCGCTCTGAAATCTGTACGTTCATTAACCTCATACCTTTAGTGACCTTAACTTTCCCAAGTGCTCATGTGTAGACAAGCTCTCAGGACAAATGATGTTCCCAGTGAAATAAAACTTGGTACAGCTGATACCAGTGACTTGTAAGCTGGGAACAAACTGGAAAGCATCATAAATTCATCTGTGCCTTGCAGGCAGGATCATATGCTTTTCAACTGGCATAGCCAAAAATCTGTTTGTACATAGATATCATTCCTTCCCAGTGGTAGTCATTGAACAGATTCTGTTCTACATGCCAATGGTCTATAAGAGAGCAGGTGTTTCTATATCTAACGCACTTCTGCTCTGAACCCATGGCTGTTATTTTGACTTGGGATCAGGACACATTCATTCCGAAGTCTATGATCCTCGCTGCCATAAATACTTTTTGGTTGTTGTTGTGGTGGTGGTGGTTCTTAGCATTTTGCATTATTTTAAAGAAAAGATCACCATTATATTCTACTCTGTTTGATTCAAGTGACTTTCCATACTCTACTTCTGTGGGGTTCATGATTTCCCCTTTTTAAAAAAGACTGATTACAAAAAATTGCACACAAGTGTTGATCTGAATCTAGTTCAGATGGGTGGGTGTCTTGGTATTGCTACTGACTACCTACAGAAAAGGTAGAGTTAGGTATGTCAGGGGGACTTAACCTGGTACTCCTGAAATGCAGGCTTCTAAGCTGAGTTTGTATATAGTTTGAAGAATCTAAATTTAATATACAGAGAGAAATAAGTAGCATATGCATGCCTTATAACTAAATGAAAAATCTGCAAGCACTTCAAAAAATTCCCTCATGCATCCCAGTGAGGTGGGGAAAACACATGATATTCAAGGGTCATATCACTTGTGAAAAAATGTCGTTTCCTAAGGTATTCACAAGGCAGATTCACTTACCAAACCAGTGTCCAGCCCCATTTGTGTTACCTTTGAAGAACTCTCTGCATTACTGAAATGCCAGGAATGGCAGTGGAAAGGCTGGTGGTAAAGGAATGATGGGGTAAGGGAGATGATTTCCAAAATGAAATCTCAGGGTTTAAAAGGCTAAGACTTTCTGAACTGGGTGTCTCTTGTGAAGCCTCTGTCACCTCTGAGGGTCTCCCTGCTCGTCTGGAACATTAGATGACAAGTAGTCACAACTCTGCTTCACCTTGCCCCTAATTCACCTTAGCAGCATATGTCTCCAAGGATTCAGTTTCACCCTGCTGGGTGGGCAGAAATAGCAGCTTACTGTCACCAAAGGGGGGATGTACAGGTCCCTCAGCTGAGCCCTGCCTTTCTGCTGGTGGTGCAATTTTGCCTCTTACCTTGTGCTACTGTTGGCAGCTGTTGGATTCCTCTGCAAGCCAATTTAGTTCCCTAGAGAAAGAGAAGGGAAAAAAAGACATTAAAAGAAGAAAAAAAAATTTTTTTTTATTTGTTATTACGTTAGTAACTAGTGTGATGTAGTAAGATTGAAATCATGGACCAAGGTGTTGGATGTTGTATACCAGCTGCCCACTCTCTGTGTTTTGGGATGTTTCAGTTTTACCTCTGGTTCCAGTCTGTAGACTGCATGGCCACCAGCTGGGCATTCAGGTTGGTGTGTGTTAGGTGTGCTTCTGGAGCACATCTTTTGGTTTTATTTTGTCTGAAACTGTCTGGTTTGTGTGCTCTAAGACTGCTCAGCGATGCAAAGCCAGTGTGGTAAGGAGGGACAGTCAGGCAATTTGTTCCTAAAGAAAACCCCTGAGCTGAGCTAAAGCACAGAGATGTGGCCTTAGTGGATTGAATCAGCTCTGCAGGGAAGGGGGAGTGGGAATGAGCTGCTGTCCTTTGGCAGGCTGTGTATGTGCTCAGCTGTGAGCACACACGACCTGCCTGCTGAGATACTGCCCAAATCTGAGTTCCTAGTGCTTACCTTCTTCAGCTTGAGGGCAGCTCCACTTCACTTAGAAAAGCTGATGAGTTGGCAGCAGAACACTGTATGCCATGCAAAGTGTGAGGGCTTTTAGCTAAAAGCTGTAGTTTTCTTGATGATTGCAAGGTGAGTGCGTCTGTACAAGAAAGTGGTGCAGGTGAGGGATGATACCCGGTTTGCAAACAAGCAACCACACTTCATTCATGGATTGGTGCAATTTTTGGGCAGGCACATGTTTAGCTGTGCTTGACAGCATTGTGTATACATAGCAAAATCGATCCTAAAAGCCTACTCGTCACACCCTGCTTTTGGAAAAGCTCAGGGTGTGACTCTCAGCTGATATTAGTGCTATTTGTGAAGGGTCAGCTCCCAAATGTAAATCAACGGCCACGATTTTAAACAAGTAATCTGTAAGCACCAAAGCTGATGAAGCACGAATTCCTGTGTTTTCTACCTGGGGACTGATAGCCTCTGCAGGGAGGGCCTGCAGTCTGCCAGAAGGAGGGACTATAGCTTTCCTGTGTGCACAATCTCTCTCTGTAGAAATATGGGGGCATCCTTCATAAGGATAAAGCAGAGTCTTCCCCTTCTGCCTGTTTTCATAAAAATTAGAGGACCTAAAGCTTTCGAAAGGTACCTGCTCCTCTGTCCTGTGTGGCTTGAGTGGGCCAACACTTTATCTAGGTGCTTCATTTCCATGGGAAGCCAGACAAGAACAGGGAGCCAGGGGTAAGCTTCCAAAACTCTTATTTGAAGGTGAACCAGAAGCAAAGAAAAACACACAGTAAATCATTGCAACTCCTGCCTTTCTGGTACCTGCCTCTTGAGCATGGTCCCAAACCCTTTCATGGCTCCCAGTCTGCAGTTTGAGGGAGGGGACAGGCATTGCAGAGCTGGATTGGGATTCTGCACAGCAGCAGACAGGGAGTCGTGTGCTGAGAAGCACTTAGGGAGTATAGATCTCATTCCAGATCAAAGCCTTGTGCTTTGCCACCTAAATTCTTTCATAGATCAGGTTCCAAGTTAATAGGTGAACCTTATGTTTACGCTCCCAGGCTGGAATTTATAGACCTATCTAGCGAATTTGAAAATTTAACTGGGATGTGGGAAACCAGCTTGATTTGGGAGAAAAGACTTTCTAATCAAGGTTTGCAATAATCAGTTTTTAACTGGATTTTAGTGTGCATAGCCAGATGTCTCAGGTCATTTTAATCTCCTTACAGGCATGCTGCCAGCTAAAAGGTTTTTTGTGTTTCTTGTAGGTAGCTTAAAGATGGATGCTCCTAAAGAAGCTCAGCCTACAGGAGAGTTCGAGTGTCAGCTCTGTGGGTTAACAGCTCCCTACACGTACTACGGGCCGAGGCCGCCAAACTCACGCTCTGTCATGTGAGTGCACTCTGGGGTCACAGACCCCATTGCTGCTGCCAGCAGCACTTTCTTGCTGTAATACTGTTGACTGCCAGCCTAGTACTTCTGGGAATAGCCCTTTCGTCACAATAGCCTCCCTCAGCTGGGCAATACATACACACAGCATGAATGAAATATGTATGCTAAAAACACTTTTTAAGAGCCATTTGACACAACCTGGAGTTAGAACAGCAGTGCTTTTTTGCATGAGTTAGACAATCCCTTGTCACATTGTATGGCATTAAAATGTGTGGATATATAGTATGTATTTACATTTTCAGGGACTGAAGCCTTTTCCACCTCTGCTAAGTAGGGTTAGCTTAACTAGAAACTATGCAGTTATAACTGGGTCTGCAGACATTAAAGTCCCCATAAAATAAAGCACTTTGCTTTAAATGCATGAGTAGCTTGGTGGAGGCCATCTTGGTCAATGAACCCGTCAGGTAAACATGGTCAGGAGCTCACTGGGACTGGAAGTCAGGCATGTACTCAGCATTTCACCCCAATAAAACCACTCAGTGTATTACAGAATGGAAACAGCTGTTGATGACCTGCTTGGGCTGTTTTCCTTGGGCAGCTGTATTTTTATAATTTCAAATCCCACAGTGCTGCTGGTTTTTTCCTCCTCTGCTCAGCAGAGCAATGGCTCACCTTTGATCAGGTCCATTCCTAAAGAGTCTGAGTTGAAGCTGAATGTGAATCTTAACTTTAGGTTATCCAAGCTCAGCATTAACATCTCAGCTTTATTTGGGTTGCTCAGATGCCAAAAGCAAAAGAATAATGCTGAAGCATATCACTTCTCTACAGGCTTATAAGAAACAGCTTCACACCCCATCTCTCTTGGCTGGCTTCCTGGCTTACTCACACATCCCAAAAGCAGTGCTGCAGGAAACCTGTGCTGGATGGGAGGGCTTGTGCAGTGGCCAGGGCTCTGCATGGTGAGGGCTACGTTAGGGCTGTGAACCTTGCAAGGGGAGCTTTGCACACGTAATCCAGCCTTTGTGTCCCAGGAGACTTGCTGACAAAGTGATCTGATGTGTTAAGATGCCTGATCTTTCCCAATAGTGGAAGGCTCTGGCCATACCATTTTTTCTTTGAGTGGGCAGGAAAAGGAGAGAGGAACGCGCTCGTGGGCACACACATACCTGTGTGTGTGTGTGCATAGGCAGGAGAAGGTAGTACGAGTTAACAGGATACCTTTTATCCATATCACTACCAGAATCCAAGTTTGACTTAAGCCCAAGAGTAAGCCGGCCTTGCTGGGTGCCCTGTGCAGACAGACACCCAACTGACTTCTGTAATATTTTGCCTGGAGCTCCCAGGAAGAGTAAGGCCGTAGTGTTTCCCAAGCAGGTTGCCAAATCATTAATAAATCCACTCCCTTAATACCCTGGAGCAACCAGTACAGTCTGTGACATAAAGTAAGCACACTGCGGGTGATTGCAAGGCTCTCTGGCAGTAGCTCCTGCTTTCAAGAGGTGGGAACCTTAGTTTTAGAGCAGTGCCATACCTAAGAGCAGTAAAACCTTTGTATTTCGTACTCACGTGCATGCAGCTTGGGAAGAGAACCTCTCATTGAAAGCTGTGCAGCTGAAACGGGAACTTGACAAAGTACTGGAGTTGGCCGTGCAGAGGAGTGCCTGCCATAAAAAGGAAGAGAAACAATTACTTTAAGGTAGAGCATTCAGAAAAACTTAGTAAGGTGACATTGAGAGGCTCACCAATTGCCCTAATTTTGGAAGACAGAAAGTGCAGTATAGGACTGAAGGCAGCTGCAGCATTGAAGAGAAAAGGAGCTGTAGAGCTGCTCCACTGCCTCATGTACAACAGCAGGCTGAGCAAATCAAGTACAAAGGGCTGATAACTTTTCAGCCTCCACAATTTCTCCCTCTTAACTGTCCCCTCCTGTGAAATCTACCCTCAAAAGCTTGAAATTGTTCTTTTACAGGGTTTTGGAAGAAGCCTATGTCATGAAGGATCCTTTCACCCCTGACAAGGACAAATTCCTCATCCTTGGCTCTCATTGCAGTTTGTGTAGCAGATCAGTGTGTGTTGGTACAGTAAGTAACAAGCAAAACAAGTTGCTTCAATCTTTTCTTTTTGTTTCAGTCCCAGTGACCTGTTAGAGAAAGATCAATCAGCAAAAACCCAAACAGCCTATTTTTAAGGCAAGCCATTCCCCCTTGTCCTCCCACTGCATGTATGTTAATTGTACATAATTGTATATTCTTGTGGATTCTGCCCGTGCTGTGCCATGCTCACTCTCTGAAGAAGAACTGAATTAAGAGTAGCAGCTGGTAGGCAACCTTAAAATGTCAGGTTTAGCCTTCCTTTTTAACAGCAGAGGCAACACAGACACATTTTGGACAAACCTGAGCACATTTAGCAATTTTCATTCCCAAATGAAATGTCTTGAATTTATGAAGGATTCAACAGATATTTCCAAGTGTGGCAGTTCAATCTGTCAGAAATACAGCATTTCAGCCTCTCAGGATCTTTGCACACAGTGTGCTTTTGTGAATGTAGGTGGGTCTTTTTCTTGTCTTGGTTTCAGTTAACCCAGGCCATGGCAATGCATAGAAGACACTTGCAGTGAGCCAAATGGAAGCCTCTTCCAATCTTTTTAACAGTCCTGCTTATTTTGCCTATTGGGGAAATATGTCAGTCATTTACTGCTTGTTATCTGAGTTTTCAAGATTCCCTTGATGGTATCACTGCATGTAAAACCTTGATTGTAAATAATTGAGAATAAATTTCTTACCCAACTGGCCAGGCCAGATAGTGAATCACACATATGACTATGGTTTCAAAATGTATTTAGCAATACTGCTTAGGTAACATTGAAAGAGATCTGCAGAAATGATAATTAGTGCTTGAAACACCCACACCACAAAGTAAGTAAACACATTCTATTCCTCTTTCACGTAGGGGAAAATTAAAAGTCCAGAGAAGTAAAAACTTATCCAAGGCAATAGAGAGAGACAAAGTTAGGATAATGTCTCTGTGGATTGGTTTTGGTTCCTGCTTATGCTTGACCCAAGTAGATCAACTCAGCCCTGGGCTGAGTGTTTCTACAACATTACAATATAAGAATTGAAGCTGAAGAAAATCATGCTTTCTTGGACCTCTTTGGCAAAGAAGCTGGACCAGTTGGAAAGGTTTTAGTGACAGGTTGCTTTCAATTTTATGGAAATTCAAAACAGTGCTAGGCTAACATGTGACAAAATAAAGACTTTTGTGACCTTAGATTTGGCAAAGGGACTGGATTTATATTCTAGCTTTTGTATCTAAGGAGGCTCAGATACAGATCAGATTTTAGGCTTTTCATGAGACAGCCCATGCTAGCAGAAGTGTATTTCCTTACAGTTGCTGTGCCAATAAAAGTCACAACTTAGCAACTGTTCTATATAGTGCTCATAAACTCACATCTTCAGATATCCTCTGAAGTTTCACTCAGTTAATTTACTCCAGTCATCTTGCAGCATGTATCACCCTGCTCAACCAACCAATCTTTTATCACAGTGCACTGGTAAGTGCCATTAGTTCTGGTCTGACTGGGAATAATTCTAATGACTATCTGTAATGTCTTAAAACCCGTTTAACCCCACAAAAAGGAAGAGAATAAAAAAGCTTTTGAAAGTCCTTGGGCAGGTTGAGTGCCCTTCTTCCTATTTCCCTTTCAGAAAAGGGGAGACAAAATTATATAATCTGACCATGTTAGTAATTTAAAACAGTTATTTCTGTTTTATTGCAATGCCTACTAAAGGTAGGAAAAGAGATGGTTTTAAGGGAAGAAAGGAGGAAGGGGAGCAAGTTTCATCCCTTATTGTTCACCTCAGCAGAAGGTGACTAACCACTGACCTTGGTCAAGAGTGTAGGTATTAAGTGATAAATGTAATACTACAGCTACTTTCCACTCAGCTTCCAGTCATGCAGGGTCAGTCCTGGACACGGACAGGCAGAACCATTCCTTTACATAGTGTGGTAAAGATACCATCCCTGTATACATTACTTTCAGACATGATTCATGTCAAAACAGAAATAAACTCCGGCAGCATGCTTTGGCACCTCAGTTTCGCCTGAATTGGACTATTAAGTTTGAAATTTCAATGGCTCCCTCCTGCCTTGGTCATGGAAAGAGGAAAACGTATTAAAGAATCATCCAATTAAACACAGAACTGCATCAGGATAATGGTATAAAACAAGGGCTTGACTCTACGTAGTGAGTTTAATTCATAGGGCATTAAAAGAAGAGTTAGGACTGAGAGAGGAGGACTGAGGGTACGTGGACCCAGCACTCAGGTGTGCAATGGTTCATAGTCACGATGTGCCTAAGTCCCGTCGGCCAAAATCAGCACCAGCTAGCAATTCTTTTCAGCCAAAAGAATGCAAGTTGAGCCCCTGTGTTTCCTGCGAGGAGCTGCATCTTAACTTTGGAGATCCCACCTGCAGGATGGGGGAACAGCCTCTCCCCTCTCTGCCATGGCCCAGGGGCCACCACTGGGAGCCTTGAGCTTACCCGGGGGCAGGGGGGCTGCAACGCAGACAACAATAGCAGGACCAACTCAAACCTAATCTCCCTTTTCAACTGGCAGCTTAACGTATTAAGGATAGCAAAAGACAAAAACCAATAGGCTCTGGAGGTTGTGTAACTGAAATCCAGTTTCAGGGCTTTTCAGAGACGAAGGCCTCACACTAGTTCCTGCATATGAAGGGGCCTTGCACCAGTGCAGAAAAGGACAACAGATGAAAGAAGTTGCTCCTCAAGCTTCCAAGTCACGTGGAAGCAGGCTGATTGTGATTTTGATATAATTACCAGCTGAATCTGCTGCTAAAGTCCAGATAGTGACATAGGAAACAAAAGCAAGGACAGAAACACAGGAATAGCCAAGCCAAGCTCCCAGAAGAAAGCCAGCTACAAATGACCATGGCAAGGGAAAAACTTTGCTATTTAGATAAGACCCAGGGAATCCATTTCTCCCCAGAAGATGTCCAGATCTATCTAAAATGATGTCTTTATTCATGCTTAAATCCCCAAGAATAATCCATCAGTAACACCAGCTCCAGCTTACCCATGAAATCCTATTTGGAATTTGGTGATCAGCACGTCAGGAGAACCATGGACGTCAGTCTCGCTGCAGGGCAAAGGAATAATACATTAATAAGCTTCTCTTCTAGTTGTTCAAACTCTATGCTGCACATAGATTAAAATATTCCATAGGTTTTGCTTCTCCCCATTCAGCAACTAACATCTGGTGACAGCTCCTGGGTGAAAAATAAATACTGGGTCTGTAGCACTTGCTGACAACCAAACCAGCTGTGAACGGAGCCTCTCTGGTCGTAGTGTCATTCCAAGGACAGTGAAAATACCTTCTGTGTGCACAGCAGCTGTTATACTTTGCCATAAAGAGTTCAGAGAAGAGGTTTTAACCAGTGAGTACATTCACTGAGGGTAAAGGTGGGTAATGGATGAAATCTCATTTGAGTTGTCTCAGCTGAGTGGAATTCATGTAGCTATTCTGGGTATTGGACACCTCTGTGACATTGATATAATAGTGATACTTTTTAGTGTTCTCCTAGGACAGTTCAGGCGCACGGATTAACAGAAGGAAGAGTAGTTTTTGGGGAGTTATGGAGAAGTGGCAGCTAAGGTCTCTGAGAGCCCACAGCCCCCTGCGTACCTACTTGGTGCTTGTGATGGCCTCCAGGCCATTTTTGTGGAGAGTGGTGAGGAAGAGAGTGCTGAGACTGCAAGTTTCACATACCAGTGCAGGAATTTGGAAGACCCTCCCAGAAGGGAGAAATCTTCATAAGCCAAGATTTAGCTTTAGAGGAAAACTTTGCTGTTTTGGTAAAACCAAAATATAATGGAATCCATTACATCTTTATTCATGCCTAACTCTCCAAGAGTAATCTATCAGCAACAGCAGCAACAGCTTACCCAAGAAATCCTATTTGGAATTCAGTCCTCAGGCCAGGAAATGCATGGATGATGCTGGAAGGACAAGGCAGCCAAAGGAGATGTGTTGCTGTTCCCTGCAGCAGGGAGCTGGTAGAGGTCACTTTAATAGGAGCAGTGGGACAGTTGATTTGGTTAGTGCTTATTTCAGGCCCAGGTTTTATTTTTCACCCAGTTAGCTCTAACCAGATCTTAGAATTATTAAGAAAAATTGCTGAAATATTCCAGCCTAGAAGAAGAATTAATTTTAGAAGAATTCTAAATATAAATGTAGTTTAATGAGACTAGAACTTAAGCATTTCTATTTTGTGTATCCTGCTAATAATGGTGTGGGGTTTTTTTACAGGAATGTAGTCTGTTCTACTCCAAAAGGTTCTGTCTCCCCTGTGTGAAGGAAAACATAAAGGCCTTTCCTTTGGAAATACAAGAAGACATGGATAAAAGGAAGCCCCAGCAGAAATCCTCCAAAAAAACACATACAAAACATAAATCCTGAAGGACCAAGAGTGACAGTTCTTTGGCTGGGGTTTCTCCTCTCTGTTCAGAGACTATCATATTGCTCCTTTTAAAGAAGTGACCTTCATCAGCTCACTACTACTGAACAGAGCCCCACATTTCCTTACCCTGGGTTGCAGCATCACCGCGCAGCAGCCGCAGGGCCAGCGGATCGGCTCCCAGGGGTGCAGGAGCTGGGAAGGAAGGCAGACGAGCCTGCTGTCACCATGGAAAGTGCTTGGAGTGAAAAACCAAACAGCAGAGGAACCAGGTCCAGTTCTACACATTTGCTACTTTGATGCTTTGTGTTGTTCTTGACACTCCTACAGTGTTATGAAAATCTGAGACACATTTAACTGGCTTAGTTCAGGATACATCCAAGAAAGTCACTATACACCAGTCGTTATCTGGCAGTGCTGTGCTGGCAAGACTACAGTAGGCAGGGAATTTAGAGCTTTAAGTCTAAAATAAAACTCTCACGAGAAAATGTCACTGATACCCATAGAAATACCTGAATTTTTCAATATGATAATTTTGATACTATCGTAGCATTGAGACTCCTGAAGGTCGGTGCTCCTATAATAAAATACCAATAAAAATACTTACAAGTCCCTTGCACTTGCAGTCACTCAACCTTCAGGTCTGTGTCAGGACAGCAACCGGGGAGGACCCTGAACACATCAAGTTTATGCTTTACAATAAAGGTGGCTTCCTTTTCACTTTCACATCAGTTAATCTGGACATAGAAGAGTTCCATTAATAAACTCAATTCTTTCTGAACTGGGCAATTAAACTGCACCTAAAATAGGGATGTCAGAAACAGTTTCAGTTAAAAAAAAGAGTAAAAAGATGTTACAGAAACAGCAGTTTCTTTAGCTCAAAAGTTAGCTTCTCAGTTATCTGTTTTGACTGTCTTAAAAGATGATTGAGGTGGCTTTTACGTTAAACCACAGTCACACACCCTAAGGATATGTTTAGAAAGCTCCCTAATCACAAAATCACCTTTTTTACTCAAGTTTTTGTTGGTCATTGGTTCAGAACCTGTTACTGCATTGGTTAACATCTCTTTTTTTTTCAACTCATCCATACATATAATTTGTCATAGGACAAAATCTAAACCTGATCATTTTAGTAGAATGAACATGTCTCTGTTAAAAGAAGTCATCATTATTTCAATGAGTTATTTTTAGGTATTAGGACATTTGAGTGTCCTAAAATCTTTCTTTTTTCTGGACTTAGTATTTTGGTGTCCTCTGTTAAAGACTGGAATTTCTTGCAGTGACTAGAGGAGCAATAATGGACCTATTAGTAGCCTTTTTAAGCTCTAAGTGCTTTAAGACATAAAATATATATATGTCTCTAATTGTGGGGAAAAAAGATCCATGTTAGAAGTCAACATTTCAGATACCTTTTTGCAGTGGGTTCCTTTCCTGGAAATAAAAGATTAGCACAGAACATTAAATTCACTTTTAAAAATACTTTATTTTTCTTACAACCATTAAGGCAAAACCGTATTTCAAATTAAGGTTGTTTACATTCAGTCTGAAAGGATTACTTTTTTTAAAGCACATAGGTTCCTACCAGTCTCTATACAAACACTGTGAATTCAACCTCTTATTTTTAAAGAAGACAAAAAAAATCAGAATGTAAAAAAGAAAAAAAATGTTTAGTTCAAGTTTTTTCATCCTAGATCAGTAGGCTGGTAAGGTTTGAGAAGTGTCATTGTATTTAGCTAAATGTAACTTTTACATTCACAAGTGCAAGATACATTTTCTTTCCTAAAAATCCCTGTGAGACCAGAGCTTTCATTTGTCCTTGGAAGTGTCATTTGCATTGTTCTGACAGAGAGAAACTTGGGAACTTGGCTTGAATTAGTGGTTTTTGCTGGGAAACAAGCATTCCATGAGAATTAGCTTTGACTACTCCATGCAAGAAATGTCTGCTCTTTCTAAGTTCTGTGTTTACTGTAATTAAATGTACCCAAACCTCTAAAAACAGGTGACTGGAAACAGTGAGCTGGTTGGTGGATTTTTTTCCTCTTTAATATTGCTATTTTGATTTAATGAAACACTCATTAGCTCTAGAGATTAGGGTTTGGCAGCATTACAACACTGTGCTTTTTCTGTGTCATACCAGCTAACAGACCAGTTAAGATGTGTGAGGGGGCCTTAACATCGTGACGTAATTAAGCTGTGGTGTTGCATTCCTAAAGAAAATTCTGAGCAAGTAGGAAACAGCAGGAGCCACACAGGATGCAGCTCACCCCAGAAGCTCCTAAGCCAGACTTTGTCCAGCTGCCAAGGGGGAGTTCTTGTGCAAACACATCCTGCTGGAACGCTGATTACATTGGTTATCGCCACAGAGGCAACCGAAGCCACGGATGTTGCTCCTCTCCTGGGGGCCAAGGCACTGTGTCCCGTGGGGACGTGCTGTGTGGGGACAGCGCTGTGTGACGTGTGGGTGAGTCACCCCCGGGGTGTGGAGCCCTGCAGCACATCTCAGACGGGCTGAGGACGCCGCGCTCCAGGCGGCACGACGGCAACACGACGGCAACACGCTGCTCGTGTGCTGCCAGTATGTCCGTGGGTCAGGATTCTCCACCCTGCCAATCTCTTTTCTTTCAAGTGTAAAGAATGCCATGAAACTCCGTGCTCTGAGCATAAGGCTGGTGTCCTTACCACGATAGGGATTACGGTACCTGCATATCCAACCTGAGAAAATATACCAGAATACTGAAAAACAACTTCAAGTACCTTTTGCTTGATCTTGCAGTCCTTACTAAAGGTCCAGCCTGTAATCAGAGTAGTCTCTTTCATGCATGCTGCCTATCCCCTGGCAGAGGCAGCTCATCTGGAACTGAGGTCCTTGCAATAGGAATTCTGTATTGAAACATCCTCGCAATGGAATCTGACAAGATCAACTGACACAATCGGTGAAGGAGCTCAAGGAAAAAAAACCACCCCAGCTTCAGAAGCAGAAAAAAGATTAAAAAACCTCTGTAAGTACACTGGAGAAAAGAAAGGAGGAAACACCCTTCCTTCGGGTGGGCTCAGTTACAGCGGGTCAGTGTCCCAGTGTACAGCAGTGGCTCCATCAGTACCTGTCACACGGTGTTCCTCGCTGCCAGCGGGACTGAGGGAGTGAGCACTGGGAATCCAGTAGAGCTTTGACAGACATTACACAAACGCCTCAGGAGACAACACACCTCTACGGTGACACTGATCAGGTGAATATGTCAAGCTGCAGCAATTTGAGGAAATCAAATTTTCTGTTACAAATAAAAGGCAGGAAGTCCAAAGGATTGCTAGAGCACTTGTAACAGATTGTGCTTGTGGTAACTGCTGTGTTTGGATTACAGCAAGATAAAAAGTAGATACCTTTGAAAGGTACCTTTGTCCCTGTATCTCATTTCCTCAGCAGCATGCTGTAGGCAGAGACTGGCACACCTGCATCACAAGACACAGAATCCCCACGAGCAGACTCCGAATTCAGTTCTATTTAAAATCCTACAGGAACGCTCCCATAGGAAAGCCAATAGTGGCATTTCAGCATTGTGTTTTGCACTGCCAAATCATAGGTTTGAAAATGCATGTACCAAAGCTGCAGCTCACCGTCAGGGCAGGGGGCAGGGAATAATCCTGAGCACACATTGTCACTGCCAGTGAGCTCAGAAAACAGTTCCTCAGAAAACACCAGCACTGGCACACCGAGTGCAGCTTTTTTTTAGCTCTTTTCAGACTTCAAAGGAAAACGAGCTACCAGGCTGCAAAGCAAAGATTAATTCAGTTCTACAAACTACCTTTTGTATTGGTGAACTCAAGTTAAAAACCTTGATTTTGGGATTACAGCTCTTCCTCAACTAGACTTGCTTTTATTAAAATCAAATAAAAGGAAGTCTATGTTCTATGTGAAAATGTATTTTAAATTTTTGTTACAACTGTCAACACCAAACACTGGTAACTTGCAGAATTTGTGATGGTTCTTCACAAACGATACAGCAATAAAGACCAGACAGGAATAAATAGCAATTTGTCTTTGACTTCAGCCTCTTCATCCTTAGCCCATAGAAGTAAATATTTCCTCACTGTACAAAAGGGTTCACAAGATAAAGTATGTAACAAATATTTAAATTAAATAATTTACAAATTTTTCTTTAAACACCTCCGTAATTAATTTAGTCAAACTTTATACCTTGCAATTATATTCTTGTATTTTACAAACTGAAACATGAAGAAATGGTATTACATTAAATTAAAAAAATCCCACAAAGTCAATAATCTGAGATCAAACCCACATATAATTTAAATCTCTGGTGGTAAAAGAAGGGTAATAAAGCTGAATAAACCTAGATACAAAAATTATATGCAACCAATTATCAGGAAAGCACTTGAGATATAAGCAAGCACCAGATACCACGCTCCACCAGATCCAACACTTCCTAAAGGACGAGGGGTTTCTGGGAAGGACCGTTATTTGTAAGACCTTGTGACTGAACAGTATCACAACAGCTGCAAATGCATTTGTGAAGTGCAGTTGCAGATTTTCAGCTCAGTCCCGGGGAGCTTTCCAGGAGGGACAGAGTTGAACTGTTCCTCTGCAGCCACGGCAGGACCTTCCTCAGGGGCCCTGCCTGAGGTGGTGCCCGAGTCAGTCCAGGTTCCCCATCAGGAAGGAAGAGGAAATCCAAATTCAATCATATGTGCCCCAGCTCTCGTGATGAATAAATCTCCCCGAGTTTCAGCAGTTTGAATAAACAAACAAATGTTTAGATGCTTATTATAAGCTCTTTGATGTGCAGCCCTGTGCCAGCTCTCTCATGAGAACGGGCTTAGTGCAGCCGCTGGTATTTCCGAAATCTGTGCAGGACAGAAACAATGCAAAACTCTGCTCTCTGGCAACACTTCAGCTCTGAACCAAAGCTCAAAGGCACATGGAAATGGCAATTAAATACGAAATGTGGTTTCTTTAAATGCTACAAAAGATGTAGTTTCTGTAAGTGGAAACTTTCCTACGACGTGCCAATTTGTGTTTAAAACAAAAGTGGGATTTGAAGTTTAAAATGGTACAAAGTAACTGATTTTTTAAAACAGCACCTTTAAAGAAAATATTTCAGAAGGAGAGAAGAACAAACATCAGATTTCCCTAATACTTGGCACAAAACGTTCCTTTTTTTCCTTCTCCTCTGTCAGAGTACCCCAATAAATAAATAAATAACCCCCCAAACAACCCTCAAAAATGAGTAAGCTGTAGGTTTGCTGAAAACTTATGTCATACCATTGTCTCTCAGGATATTTCTCTATCCATCTGCTGTCTCTTGGCTTAAGCTGTGGTGCCTGGTTGCTAACCCGAGCTCTTCTGTGCTATGACAGTAAAACAAGTTATGTTGGTAAGAATCTGATCAAAACTGTACCTTACAAGACAGTAATTCTTTAATACATTTTAAATCCTAAAATCTGATTACTTTATTTCCCTCCATAGAAGGGGTATTTTAAAATACTAGATGATCTGTACATAGGGCAGATGCTGAAGTAATAGACCAGAAATAGATCTCAGACTAGTTCAGATTCCAAACTTTAAAAAAAAGGACACAAATTGAGTAATGTTAAAATCTGCTTGGCCAAAGCCTGCTGCAGACACCTCCTGAAGGAGCAAATGCAATTCCTTAGAAGTGTAATGTAGAAATGAAGAACTTCTTTTGGCCATTAATGCTCAGGAAGGGAATTGTGTACCCTGTGTCACTCTTTAAAGTGACTGTGGGAATGTGCACAGGGCAGCAGCGTGGGCAGTGGAACCCACCCAGAATTTTAGGCTGTGTTAACATCTTGTTCATATTTCTGTAATTCAGAGATGTGTTCTTTCTTTTTTTTTTTCCTCAACAAAGGTCTGCAATTTAATTTAAAACAGAATTAAAACTTTAGTGTCCAAGGAACTAGTCAAACATTGCTTGGTGGTTTTCAAATAACAAAAAAATTATGTGCTTTTCTAATGCTGATAATAGGACCCTGTAACAAGCAGCTGCTAAGACAGCTAAATGTCAAGTCTTGAACTGAGTTATTCTGTTTTCAATTCTTTATAGCTTTGCTGAGAATTTAAGTATTCTTAAATTATTAAGTTTTATTATTATTATTTAAATGATTAAATTTTCCACGTTTTTCAAGTGTTTCACTACAGTGTTTTAGCCACCTTTGAGAACAAGAGCAGAAAGAATAGTTGTTGGCCACACTGACTGCGTCTGGTCTTCCTGAGGACCTTCAGTACACCCAGACTATGGAACACAACTTTGAAATTTGCCCTTTGCAAAAATCAGAGCTTTGTGGGAAAAAAATTTCAAGTTACCCTTTTTTTTTTTTTTTTTAGAAGATAAACTTAACAGCTGGCTGCTAGAGTTTCAGTATGCCAGCCCAGAATGGCTGATATTTTGACAATTTTTTGCATTAGCAATATTGCATATCAATTATTTCCACACAGGATGTTGTAGGCCTAGACCCCATAGCTCCTCAGTGCAACGGGGCTGACTGGGAGGATGAAGCAGCAGCTTAGCTGAAATCCTGCCTGTGTGTCTGAGGGCACTCTGCCTGCTGCTCTGAGACACAAAAGGCAGCCCTTTTCCCATCCACGGGTTCCTGGCAAGGCCAACGGCCTCTCAATGGAGCGTTTGAGGCCTGTTCTTCATGCTGCCGGTTGGCAACAGCCAAGGGGAGGAAGTTTTGTGCACATACATTTACTCTTCCTCTCCTGCCCTAGATGGTCACAAAATTTGAGGCCTATGCTTCAGTATTTTACACTAAATATACCTGACCCTAAAGCCTCTGCTCATGACCCTCTCCCAGATAAACCCCAAGTTGCCTTTAAGCCTGCAATTTATCCAGTGTCCATAGGCCTGGACAGAAACAAGCATTGCCACTGAGACAGGGATCACACTGTGATGTTCTCACTTCATCAGTCTCACTCAATTCTTGCAGTGAAGACTCTGGTGTCTCCAAATGTGTACAATT